CACGCATCTCCTTTGTTGCAACGGCCATTTTTGAAGAACTTACACTCAACGTTAACACGACCTGGAGATGGGCTCCCCCTTCCGGGGGGCGATCTACCACTGCCTTTGCCTTTGCCTCCGCTGGGAGTCCTACCCCGTGACTTCTCCGGCTTTTCGTGCTTGTAAGGACAGTCATCCTTGCTGCAGGAACCCTTTCGCACGAAGTCAACACAGAAACCTCGCGGCACCCGCTTTAGCGGTGCGGGCGCAGAGGGCATGCCTGAAGCAGCCTGCCTCGCCATGCGGTCTCGATTCTTTTCGAGTCTCTTAGCGTTGATGTGGCGATTGGCTGCCTTGTAGAGAAACTCAAACGTTTTCTCCGGTGTGCCGTCAAGGGCCTTTTCGTAAATTGCGACGTCGTGTGCCAACGCCTTGTTGTTTTTGATCTGGCGATGGAACAGCGACTCNNTCAAGCACATCGTCAGATGGCGTTTTCTTTATGCCAGAAAGGACAGTGTCCCAGTTCCTGATGAACTGGACAAGGTTATCGTTCACCATCACGACGTTAAGCAAATCCTCCATGTCATACACGGAGCCGTGCAAAGCATTTGTGGCTAAGTAGCCGTCCAATTTCCAAAGGATTTGCCTGCCTCGAACGAACCTGTTTTCGTGCCCAACTCGCTCTTTAAACTTGTCCATCTGACGTGCGAAGTCCCCCTCAAGAACATTAGTGATGGCTGAGTGAATCTTTGCATCGAGAGTTGCGAACCCGCTAGAGTCGCGAAGCATCTCCTCCGTTGCGCCCTTTCTCCAGACTTCTGAGAGCCACTCGAATGCTTCGTCGGGACGATCAGAGGCGGCGACGACCGCTTCTCTGACGCGCAAGCGCCAGTTCCTGTACGTCTCGGGCTGAGGGAACTTAGGAAAAACTATCTTCTCAGCCTCTTTGGGGGTTCGGGTTCTCCCTCGCTTCTCTTCATCATCTGTGCCATCGTTCTTGTCCTTTTTGGACTTCAACACTTTCTTAAGCATCTTGAGCAATTCTTTCTTAGTGAGGCCAATTGACGACGAGGAAGAAGAGCTCGATGAGTCACGCTTCTTCTTCTTTTTGTCCTTTTTGGACTTCTTCTTATCGTCATCATCACCATCACTGTCGTCATCAGGACCATCGTCAGGAGGACCACCACCACCGCCACCACTGACAGGACTGTCACCCATTCCTGGGGGCGTGGAAATGCCAAAATGAGAAGGAGTGGCATATCCAGTGTACTGAGATGCATTTGCTGGAACAGACTGAATACCACTTACACCTGCCGCAGCTTCAGCCAGGCGAGAGCGCAATTCTGCGTTGTCGCGCTCCAGTCGTGACATATTGCTGGTCTGGTGCTGCTGAATTTTCATGAATTCTGACATCTCTGCTCTAAGGTGATGGATCTGACCTGACATTGCTTCTGCTGCAGATTGAGCCTGAGTCCTAGCAGCGAGCTCTCGCTCGGCGTGATGCACCACATCATTGACAGTGCTCTTGCCAGGGTTGTGGAGTCTAAACTCGCACTGTCGTCCCACCTTGACCAGGTTCCGCCTCCTTCGGCAAACTCCGCCCATGCTGCCGATCTGGACCACCGTCAGGACATTGAGGATACACTTCGCATTGCCTCGCTTCCCGGCCCTCTCACTGGGGCGCCGCTAGGTGAGCCCGTCGCAGGACGACAAGGTCCCAGGTACGCAAAGATTCCTTGCCCAGCCTGTCAACGCTGCTTTCCGGACCTTGCCGCTCTCAAAAAACATCATCTCAAGCTCAAGCATCATCAAACCGCACTGCCTAATCCCCATGCCTCGTTCAGCGCGGCTGAGGTCAGAACTCACAGTCTAGACGGCATGCCGGTCTGTCGACATTGCAAGAAGGACTACATTACCTGGTTCAACTTGAAGCGACATGTCCAAAAAGGACGTTGCTCTGCCCACCGGACCGCTACTGAGCACTCCGATCCCCTGCACTCCTTTAGTGTCGATCCGGCCTCACTACTGGCCCCAAGCACTGTCCCTCAAGCTGCCCCTACCTCCCATGATCCTCCCGCACCGATACCGCCGGAGCCTTCTTGCCAGTTTTGCGCAGTTTGTGGACAATGGCTGGTATCTGTACGCAGCATTAAACTGCACTACCGACAGGTGCACCTGAGCGCTTATGAAGCTTTCAGTGCGACGGCCACGGCTGACTGCAAAAAAGTCGGCCACCTTGTCTCGCCTTGCTCTTTCTGTGGTAATACCATGAAGCGCACTGACCAGCATTCTGCTACCTGTCCTGTCTTGTGGCAAGCACGCCTGTGCTGTCTGCTGAAGGCGAGCCTCGGCTCACATCGAACTCCGCTTGCATCACCACCAGCCCTGGGAGCACAGGCGACACATGGCCATGGCCCACGGCCTTTCGGACATGGACCTGGACGCGGAGGAGAAGAATGTCTTCGGGGATCTCCTGGGCAAACGCCCACTTCAGCTAGCTGGCGACAGAGCAACCCCCCAATCGGCCTGGTAGAGCTTGGCCTTCGCCTCGGAAGCTTCACGTCTCATAAGAAAAATCTCTTCCGAATGCTGATTAGCCATGCTTTCGCCGGCTGCTCTCATGCTCTCTTCCTGATGCTGCAGACGGTTTTCTGCTTGGACGAATTCAAGTCTAAGCCTCGTAGCACCCGAAATTGCCTCGTTTTGGATTCTATCCATCTGTCCCTAATTGTTGGTTCTTCTCATTCATGATGGCAGAATGTCCTGCTTCAGCTTCAGATGCAACCGCTGGTCCAGTATCACTTTGTACTAGGACTTGTTGATTGAGGGTGGGCGCCAAGACTTGGTTGTGGTAGAAGTTCGCGACCTGTGAAATTTCATGTGGTGAATAATTCATCGATGATGCAAGAACTGCTGGCGACCCCGTTAGAGGTGCGCGAATGGGAGAGGGCGTAGTGACACAATCCCATTCTGAAATTGCACCTGGCATTAACCGCCTGGAGTCGTCTGAACCCAGCATTGCTAGTGACCGTTCGGTCAACGGAACAACTGCTTCACCCTCTCCGGGAGCGGGGCCCACCTGATCCGTGCTATTGTCCTGAAGGGACATAGCAGAAAGTGATTGTGCTTCCTCGGTCAACGAGTTTGGTATTGGTACGGCTGCAGGGCTTACGGGAGCGGGGTCCATTGCGAATCAATCTACCGTAAAAAGGTGAGACTTACGGCTGATAACCTATGTTCACAGGTGCAACAGCCAGAAAAGAGTACGCACATTTTCTTGAGCCAAATACACGCCGTTAGTATACACGGTCAGCTACATCTTACACTAACGACAGATATTGACGAAGAAGGAATGATGATGGATTGGGGTCCAGGTTCGAGTGGCAAGCAGGGGAACCCTCTCAACAAGTGTGACAGAATTCTCAATATCAGTTTCGTCACAGCATAGCTCAGACCCCAAACAGTTAAAGAGCACCTCAATCAAGACCGAAGAGTCCGAAGAGCCACTCCAGGAGCACCCCGGAAGTTCCCAAGACATGAGCCGTGCGCCCCACAGGAGCATGATTGGCTCAACCTTCTGTGGCCCACCCCAAAGCGCGCTGGGGACTGTAGCTAAAGCACGATTCGTGGAGGCGCCCTGCTACACTTGAGGGAGCTTTCCACTCAAGAAACACCCGATACAGGCAGCCAGATTCAGGAATGCAAAGTAGACACCCGTTACAATGAATTGTGCGTTTACGGACGAAGGTGCCCGCGATGCACCGTGGAAAGGGCGCGATTGTAAGGTGCGGAACCGTATGCCCGGCCCCCCTGCGGGAACATCCCCCTTCACTCCCAACGTAAAGACCCATAGTGCTACCGCGCTGTTACAGGACAGGAACTACCTCTGAAAAATCCTCAACAGCCGACCCGGTTTCAAGGAAGCGTCGGCTCAAGCCAGCGCATGTCGTGCCTCCAGAGGTCTCACCAGGGGGGACCGGGCAAAAGGCCGCTTGCTGAAGTTCCTCAGAAAACTGCCGCGGTGCAGGATGGTCTTGCAACCGCTCCTTGGATGCAGGTCAAATCCTCTTGAGCGGTACCCTTACACTGAATTTATGGATGCAGTTATGATCGCGCGGGGTCGAAGGCTAGAGAACGGCGAGTGCGAGGGTGCGGCTGAAACAAGAACACTGCCCTGGTGCTACTAGACTATTAGGACGGCGAAGATCCAACCTGTGGATGACCACTCGGCCTGCTCGGAGAACTTGTCCTCCGTGTTCGGATTCCTTGCAAAGGCTGGCGCAGTTATGGGTTGCGTAGGAGTCTACGCACCGGAAAATTCCTCGCTGCTCGTTACCTACCTTACGGAGACTGCGAAGTATCTCCCGGCTGCACACCTTGCTTGGGGGCTGACGGGAACAAGGGATGTGGGGCCCCAGCATTCCGAATATTGTACCAAGCCATCACCGGAGCATTGTACGTGCCCCTCGCTATTCGACACACTGCGCATTGCTTTAGCGGACGGATTGATTAGGATTCAGGCTACGCGACACACCAATTGCTGCCACCCTGTCTGCTCACGGCAGACGACGAAGGCTTGTAGTGGGAACATGTGACATCCGGCGGCTGGATTGCAGATGAGGATCAAAGAGTGACGCATCGAACTGCTCTAAGAAAGAAACAAGTGCCCGTCTGTAAACATTTGTTGGAGAAGCAGCCAGCCAGAACAAAATAGGGGAATTCGAGGTACGGCTAGGCAGATCAGATTGTGCAACGACATTTGTCACGGCACTGGGGGACACCAGATGGCCCGATGGACGACCCCACGTCGCTCCATGTGAAATAAGAAGAGGTTGTGCCTGCAGCTGCAAAGGAAGACTGTGAATATCGGCCGTTGCAAGGAACAGGTGGCGATGCCGAGTGGCAGGTGAATAATGCCTTGCTTCTCCAAGAACGAGGACATATGATTGCACATGATCTTAATGTGCGTGCAACAGTTCGGAAAACTTGCATCTTGCCATATCTTGCCTGAGCAAGGCACACCAAAAGCGAAAACAACTCTGCGGCTTGCTTGTTTTCCCTCGTAGGACAGCGAAACTTGTGTCCACCAAGGAAGCAGTCCTCAGCTACAAAGCATGACACTGCAGTAGGAGAGCAATCCCGCCGTCGACAATGCTGCTGCTGCTGCTGCTACTGTGCCTCGTCTTGCTCCTGACCCTGCCCCTGCCCCCGCTGCTGCTTCTGCTGCTACAGTACCGCCACTGCGACTGCTACAGCCATTGCTACAAAGACAATCATAGCCAGCAATGCTCATCATACTTGTATTGATTCACCGGCAGGGGGCCAGCCCGGCCAAGTACGGCACAACAAAGACGTCAGCATCTTCAGGACGTGCAGCTTTCACCTGTCACATCTGCTGAAGCTTATGTGCTTTGTCCTATTTGCAGCATTTGCTGCCAAGGTTCGACACAAATCACAGCCGAAGAATGAAACTCCAAATCCCGCGGCAAAACCAACAAATGCCCTGATCGCTGCAATCGTGCTGCGAGCTATGCGATTTCAGACACAAGAATGACTGTCATGGTTGCATGTTTCCGCCGTGGTGGAGAATTTCTACCAACCGCAACTTGCAACAAGTTGGCCCCCACTCGCCTGTGGGCAGGAAAGTCCGGCGAGCAACTTCCGGAGGATTACGATCTCTTCTCCCCTCTGACGTGCCACAGAATATTTGAAAGCCCACCTCACTCTGAGCGCATGCGAAACACTCAAGTGAAGGAAGGCCTGCGGTGCAAGCGTGAAACTGGAACTCATGTTGCAGGTAAGGTTCCGGTCTTCGTCGCAGGAGGAGAGTACGAAGTCGCAATTGCTCCCCGAAGAAGTTGCCTGCTTCTCCAGCTCATCCTCGGCAGGAGCTTAACCGAATCCGTGATTAAAACTGGGGTGCGAATCCTTTCTGCGCCACTTCATGGTTTCGTACCCCTTCCTCTGTCACCACCACCTCCGATCTACTTCTCACTCCATCTCTCCGACCTTGTGAAAAACGGACGTGGCCTAGAGCTGGGCTGAAAACTCCGCTGTTTGCGGCTGTGGTGCCGTTGTGTAGTTTACCACGATGCCTTGTGATCATTGCTGGGAAAACATCTCTTTCGCATGACACGCGCCGCATACCAGGCGTTCACAACGAACGTGCATGTTGGCTCAACAGTTGGGACACCCAATTCTCACCTCCTGCAGAGCTTCTTGATCGATGCATCTTCGTTGCTGCAACTCGGGTTGATGTTTCATCGGGACCACCGGGGCCCGTCGAAGGTGCGCAGTTGGCTGTGCATTCTCGCTCGCATTGATGGAAAATCTTGCTTGCTCCGGTCAACTATGGACCCGCACTATCACACTATCCGACCAGGTATTGAGCATCGCACGGTTTGCCTGTCCTCGGCACGCAGTTGGCATTTCTTCCCCCGAGCCCGAGGGCTGTAAAGGTGTAAACTGTCGCTTGGCATTCTGCTAGGCAAGGGTGCGCCGCGCCATCGTTTCTCTGGTGCGACTGAGGGGCCATGGCCCTATCACCCGGGCTTAAAGTCTAGCTTTCTTACTTTTGCACTGTGCTGATTAACTTTACTTGCAGAATACAATGGGATGCAAACAGTTTCTGGGCTTTTCTGCATGACCAGCACACGACAAGTTTTCACGGAACGACGGGCACCACGAGTTTCAGCAATTAGGGCCACCCTTCGCTACAGATAGGAGGCTGTGCGGCTAAGGCTAACGAGAATGACTTTACACGCGTGTGAAGATATGTGCACAAATCTCACAGTCACATGCACTTCTCCGCCGCTCAAGCTCGGACTGCGGTGCCCCAGCCCTCCTGTGGCTCCTACTCCTGCTGATACTGCCAATACCACTGCCACAATCACTGCCACTGCCACTGTACCATTGCTAGTACCACTACCACTACCACCACCCATGCCAAGACCACCACCAGCTCCACCGCTACAACAACAACAACAACAACTACTTCTTCTTCTTCTTCCCATTCTTGTGATTCTACTGCTACTGAGACTGCTACTGCTGCTACTCCTGCTCCGGCTACTGCTACCTTGCTACTGCCGCTACTAAATGACTACCACTAGTCCCGGGTCGCGTGATTTGATGCTGACGACTACTGGCATGCTTCTTAGCTTCTTCATCACCCACTTCAATCACGGTTGGACTGACTACAACGCTTCTCCATGCACCCATCCCCCAAACCTCTCTGCTACTAACCGACCTCCAAGCAGCAAACCTCGTTGCCACTGATGCTAGTTTGTTGCAATTCATCTACGACAGGTGCAGAAGACAGTCTATCAGCCGAACAAAAAATCTCGAAACTTGAACCAACTCGAGCAGGCAGCATAGAGATGAACATTGAAAGCTTCAGGCAAGTCATAAACATACAGCTTCAAATCCGTGAAGTCTGCGCAACGTGGGAGCGGTAGATCTGACATCAAGCCCGCCAGCGCTCTTTTCAGAAAGATCGCCATAACGAGTCTCAGCATGGTGGACTGTGCCACATGGCACGACATCTGCAGGCTCCAAGCAGCTGTCGGCAAGGCTCGGTGCTCCGCTCTGACCATGTGCCGTCGTTATCCCATGCGGAAACACTGCAGGCATGTCCGCAGTTGAAGACCATGGCGCTGCTGTGAGCCATCACCAGCAACGTTTAACAGAATTCATAGGCCTTCACGCCAACCAGCAGTATATCTGTCAAGCCACCCCGAAGACATGGTTCCATGAAGGTCTCGTGGTTTAGGGCAGTTCAGGGGCCTGCGAGGCACAGACATCCAAAACTCTGATTTCTCCTGCAGACATGTGCGTACGTGCTTGCCTCTGCCCGAAATCATACCCCAAACCACCCTCACCCGCAGAGGAAAGGCTCACCAAGTGAAGCTTCTCGTGAAGACACAATGCGGATTCATGCGTGTTATTGCTTGGCGATAGCTCCTTCGACTTCACTCTCCTGTCACACTCCATGGCTAATGAACTTGGTTTCAGCATCTCCCTACTGCAAGTCACAAATGCCAAGGGTAGCCAAAACAGCCCAGACCCCCAAGACAAAAAATGGCATACTTCCCTCTTAGCGCAGGCTATCAGGGTTGCCTGGCGTCCCACAATGCATGTCATGCTTTGCTCAACATGCGCTGCCAACTGTGAGACAGGGTTGATGCTTGACCTGACAACAGACACCAGGAAAGCGAAGTCAAATTGACGGCAGAGCTACACTGGATTTGCGTTCACTGGTTTGTACTCTGTCTGAGATTGTGGAACGACCTCCTTCGACCCCGGTCGGAGCATACTATAAGGGACAAAAAGGCTGTAGCACCTACCAAGTTTGAGCACGCCACCTTCGTGTCGCAAATTTAACGGATGAAACTCTGATACTTATCTTCCAGCACTACAGTACACTCGCCATCTTGTTGTATAATATACAGCTGTCTTTCAGATCTTCGGCTTTCGTCCAATGGACACAGTGATTTATTGGGCTAGAGAATTTATCTAATTTCCAAAGAATCTGGAAGATGAATCTACCGCAATTATATGATCATTTGATATGATTATGCCGCTGTAGACTCCGAACAATGAGGAGGACCAGAAAAGGCCAAAGGAGGCCAGAAGAAGCCAGAAGAAGGGAAGCACCATCATCCCTATCAGCATCATCATGATCATCCTAGAATTCGAGCGCTACCCCATCGAGAGCGTCGAAACGGAGGCTCCGCCCCACCCGCGCGTGCGCCACTGTGTCGGGCAACCGAATAAGTGGCCCGCCCGGAAAAGGACAGAAGAGGCCGCCCCGACGCTTCCGCCGTGGCGGCCCGCAACCTAAACTAAGTGGGCCGGACCAGAAGAGGCCGCCCCACCGCGTGCACCGTTGCGGCCCGCAACCTAAGTGGCCAGAAGAGACCGCTCCACCGCACGCGCCGCTGCAGCCCGCAAGCTAATGGACCCGCCGAGTAGTTTGGGGAATAGAGAAATATGTAAAAGGGTAAAGAAGAGGGAGCAGCGGAGCCAAAAAAAAACACAAAAAAACATATATTTGTTAAAAAAATGTAAATGATTTTTTGTTTTGGTCTCGCCGCTCTGGCTCCATGGCACACCCTTCTATTTATGGCTCCACCCAATAGTGTCCAACCCCGCTCCCACCCCCGCGGAGGCCAGGGAAATAGGGCCCTTATAGGCCTGTGGACCAGACTTGTGAGTCCCCGACGTGTCGCAGTGCATGAAACCTCTTATTTATTTTTTGGGCTGGGGAAGAGACGCGTGCACAAACCCTTATTCATAACAAAATGGATGATGCACGCAAGTCTTCACCTATATCATTCACAGCCCCAGCAGACATGTCCATAGTGTGTAATAGAGAAGGTTGTATAAATCATGTATTCTTCTACCTCGTCTAGAAGCATATTTAGCCTACATATGTGTCGATGTATATGTGGAGTTGTTTGTGCATATAAATAGATAAATAAATAAATACATATATATATATATAAATACAAATATATAAACAAACAAATAAATAAATATATCGTATCTCAACAGATGTGCACGCAAGGCACATGACGTTGTATGTGTAATCGTTTACCATTTGTGTGTATATATATATGGTAACCCCCCTATTGACCCACACTTCTCTATGTCTAATCTAGTTATTGTGGTGCCCCCAGACAAGCAGATATGTGGGGGCACGGGTTCTCAACTTATGATATAATCTAATACATGAACAGACAGCAGATTAAGAGACAGTAGATATACTAGGAGCGCGTGACGCATAGCAATGTGGAAATATCCCTACCAAAATGGCCCCCGAGTCCCTGTTTTAACGCGTTTGTTGGACAACAGGCCAATATGTTAAAACACGTGCAATGTTTTAACACATTGGCCTTGTTTTAAAGCATTGGCTTTCAAACAAGGACATAATATCCTATAGGCGGATTAGAAGACTGTAAGTAGGCTCTTCTCATACCCAAGACCAAAAAAACAGAAAAAAACAAAAAAAAACCCAAAAAAAAATCTGGGGGACTAGTCTCCTGGAGATTTGTTTTTTGTGGTTTTTGTTTTTTTGGTTTTGTTGGGTTCCCTGCGCTGCAGGTCCCGCGCTCAGCACCGCCCCCCAGCTTTAATATTTTGTTGATCCTTATGTCGTGAGGTATTGGTAGGTTTGGCCTAGGATTGTAATCGGATTTTAATGTTTAATTTGTTGTGATCCTTAATCTTAACTGCTTTTTGATCCTCAGGCTTATTTCCTTTGATCCTTATTATGTTTTTCTGATCGATCACCCGCTTAAACAACCATTGATATCGAATGATAACTTGGGGATTGTCTTTCGTATGTCGTACTTGTACTTGGT